ATTGTGATACTACAACTTCCGTGTCAGTCAGTGGCATTATTGGGCCCAAAATGACTTTTCCCCATTGACTTGCATTCAAAGATTCAAAGGCTTTATTTTCATATGCACAGTAGCTACAGTTTAGATATAGCAAAGAAAATCCCAACCAAAAACTTCCAAAAAATATAGTAAAAAATACAAGAAAATTGATTTAAAAAAAAAGTAAAACGAGATAAAAAATACAACAGAGAGACAGTAAATATACCATAAAACCTTTAAATAAAATACCATAAAATGTAGGACTTTTAACGAAATCAACTACCCAGTATAAATACATGTATAACCTTTAATTAATCATTATGGGTATGAACAGTTGTAAAATGCTCTAAAAGCTGAATCCAGAGTTATTTTTCCCTTTTATATTCTGGATATATTAAAGTGTTCTATTCAAGACGGAAATACTGCAGCAACAGAAAGATAAACGTTACTACTATAGCAGAAATATATACATAGGCTATAATATAAGATAAGATGGACCTTTATTGAGCCCCATAGCAGCAACAGAATAAGACATACATACAGATAGTACATATGGGATGATAAGAATAAACATAAAACGATACAAAATAAGATAAAATAACAATAAACATGTAGTAATAGTATGAATCGAAATAACAAAAAATGACATGAGTTAAACTGAATTTGAATTTAAGCTAAACTGCGCATGCGCTATGGGCCCACATACGGGTACTTTAGCTCAGCCTATTTCGTGCTTCATTCGCCACTGAGCTACTCTCATAGGAATGAACGGGGTCCCGCCTCCATCGCTGTATCCACTTCTCTTTATACATCCATGTTCTAGCCGGCTAACATTAGCATTAGCATCACCCCCCCTCCACCACCACCACCACCACCACCACCTCCTCCTCCCCGCTAGCATCCCTGGCTAGTTTTCATCCTTTTCCAGCCGACCATCACAGGCCTGTCTCACACAACCCTTCCGTTTCACACCGGGACTATTTTATCCCCTTCTTTAAAAGCAGCGACTCGTGGGTTTAAACGTCGCAGCCAACCAGACATTTATTCGGCCATTGATATAAAACGGAGCACGCCAAGCGGATGTTGTTATGTAACGAGATAATGACACCACACGCCCTTGAAACAAAAGCTGTTGTTTCCGTATTTGTTTGTTTGTGGTGCGGTGCAGGAACCCAAATCCTGGTGGATAAATTGGAGACAGGGGTAGGGGGTTAGTGGCGGAGGTTTCGTTTGGTGTAACCGAGGGCCGCAGCTGTGAACCGGCTTCTGAAATATACAACGACTGCTCCTGTCAGCCATTGTTTTTGTTGTCATCGGAGGGCTCTCATTTGTTCCCAGCCTCGGATCTTCCCATTGATGGTGTGTCGCTGTGCATTGAAGGAACAAGGCCAATTTACCTTAATTATGATTCACAGTCATTAGGGAGAATATCATTGTTACCTAGATACTCTAGTGATGTATGTAATTTATTATATTTTGAATTAACTTGCTGATGTTCATTTTTATTTTTATTATATTTAAATCTCATTTTATCTTTTAAATATTTTTATATATAATATCTATCTATCTATCTATCTATCTATCTATCTATCTATCTATCTATCTATCTATCTATCTATCTATCTATCTATCTATCTATCTATCTATCTATCTATCTATCTATCTATCTATCTATCTATCTATCTATCTATCTATCTATCTATCTATCTATCTATCTATCTATCTATCTAGCCATCTATCTATCTATCTATCTAGCCATCTATCTATCTATCTATCTATCTATCTATCTATCTATCTATCTATCGAAGTACCACTTAGAGGTTATTTCACATTGGGCAACATGATATAGTTATTTTTGTGATAAGATGACTGCTTTGCTTTTGTCAGCCATTTTTGTTGTTGTCATTGGGGACGCTCATTTGATCTTCATTTTGATGGTTTGTGCGCTGTGAATGAAAGGAAATTACATTGTAATGGTAATACTAGTTATGTGGACATAGTGAATGCTATGGTGGGATTCGGTCAATTTGACTCTGACATAACATTATTTTTGTTGTGGTATTTTTTTTTGTAATGTTTAACTTTTTAAATTGAAGGAGTCATATCTAAATATGATTGTTACCCACAATTATAAAGGCAGTACAAGTTATGTAAAGATGATTAAAGGCAGTCTGAAAAAAGGTCAGTTAGACTCTGAGAAAAAACAATTGTATTGTTAAATATCTTCTTTAAATGCCAGGATTCATATCTAAAGGTTATTTCCTCAAGGGTAACATGATATAGTCATTCCTGTGATAGGAAGACTACATAGTCATGCTCTTGTCAGCCATTGTTGTTGTTGTCATCGGAGGGCTCGCAGCTGTTTTCCTTCCCCTGACTTCCCATTGATGGTGTGTCCTGTGCGTTGAAGGTTCATGGACCGTCTCGACTCAGAGTCATTATATGGAATATGATTCTGACCCACAATATGTACAATTATAACGGTAATACAAGTTATGGGAAGATGATGAAATGCTATGGAAGAAAAGGTCAGTGAGACTATGAGATTGTTTAATGTCTTTTTTAAATACCAGAAGTAGGATCTAATGTTTATTTCACCATGGGTAACATCATGTGATAAGATGACTGCACAGTCATGCTCCTGTCAGCCATTGTTGTTGTTGTTGTTGTTGTTGTTGTTGTTGGAAGGCTTGCGTTTGTTTTCAGCCTTGTATCTTCCTAGTGATGATACAAGGATGTGTGTTCTGCGTGTTGCAGGAAATTAACCTAACATGTAATAGGCAATTTTTTGATAAGATACAACTCCATTTTGTTGTCATTGGAGGGCTTTTATGAGTTTTTCAGCCTTGTATCTCCACATTGATGAAGTCTGCTCAGTAAATTAAACAAATGTGGCCAGTTTGCCCTATATAACATCTCTAGCACCGAATACTCTTACAGCTTGGTGCTGAAATGTCAAATTATGATTCACAGTCATTAAAGGGAATGTGATCTTTACCCACAATGCACTGAATTGTTCAGGAATGGCTATAGCCGTGAGGGGGAAAACTCGTAATTTCTTTAAAAAAATGATGCTTCATTATTATATTTCTTGTAAAAATACTAGTAGCAGTAGGACCTAGAGGTTATGACATGATGGGTAACATTGTGGGCATTCCTGTAATGAGATCAGATTAAAGGTTGTTGTTATTGCATAGAAGACAGGTTCTGAGACAGCAAAATGCAGCTTAGCATCTAACCAGAAGTGCAGAGCAATGTACATGGTGTGATAAATAATAAATATAATAGACAGTAAAGGGCTGACATGGATATGCTGGATATGTGAAGTATGGACAGTAATGAATATGCTAACATGTATAGCTACAGTGTGAACAGTAGGACATGTGCAGCAGTTACAGTTGTACTGTGATGTAATACAAGACAATCATTTATGAGTCATTGTTGTAATAGTGAGACTGAACAGGAAGACTTTTTGAAATATTTGAGCATATGCATCTATTAGTGCTCGCAGAGGTCTAAAGGGACTGAACATCAAGATATGCATGTTATGCCTCTTATTTGTGATGCTATTTATCAGTCGTCTCCTAGATTGTTTTGGCTCTGAGATAATGTTACAGCGCAGCCGAGGAGAACGCCATTACTGTTTACATCTCACGCTGTCATGAGCCTCTCCTCCAGGAGGAGATGCACGCTTGCTTCTGCGCAGTGATACGGCTGCTGGTGTTGTTTAGTGGAAGGAAAGTAGTTCCTACGTAGAACTGCTCACAGAAGGGTCTGTGGCTTATCTTAAATAAACTGGGTCATGCTTTTTGGAAAAATATATAGCTGTTGAGTTTTTTAAATGCTTTTTTTGGCACTCGGAGCCGAAAAGTAGAGAGATTTCTAGTTCAGTTATATTTTTAGAGAGGGCAGCTGAGGGCACATTTATCTATCATGTTTTTGTCTCGGTAAAGTTTTTGTTGAATGGCCATTTTTGTCTTTCTTTGTCAAAGAAAACCAGTTTAGTTTCAGTGTTAACATTTGTCTATCTTTTAGTCTTCAGATTGCATTGCATTGATCATTCGAGTCAATCTAATTAAGCTGAAATATATAATTGTTTCTTTCTCTCAAGGTACCGTCTTGTCATTGCCCCGTCTTAGTCATGAAACATTTTTTTGTTTGCGGACAGAATTAGTCATAGGGTGAAGTGAAGATAGAGAGAAGGTTTGGGAGTGAACCAATGAAATAGGAGTGAGGGCAAGGGAGGAGGGAACAAGGGAAGGTGTGGCAATAGATGAGGAGGAAGGGGACAAGGAGGAAGGGGGGTCAGATGAAGGGAATCACCCCAAAGTGCATCGTTTTTCTATTTATTTCTACTTCTCTATACCTCTGTACTTTAGAATCTTTTAGGGGCAGATCGTTGGTCAAAAACACACAGAAAGAACTGATGGTCATTCAAAAATATGTAATTAAAATATGGTTGGAAAAGTGCTAGATAGAGAGAAACATATATGCTAAATGTCTCGATTGATTGATTGTTCGGTCTAGAAAATGCCAAAGAGTAGTCACACACACCTATCACATCTTCCCAGAGACGAGTAGTGATATTTTCAAATTGCGTACCTTTGTTTTACTTACATTTTGAATACTTGCTTGATCAGAAAATATTGACAGTAATATTTGCAGAAGAAGTTGGATTAGGAGGGAAGGAGTCAGTGAGGAATGGAGGGGAAGAAGAGAGTGTGAGGATGGAGAAAGGCAGCCAAGGAAAAGATGGATGGATGATTTGGAAGAACAGAAGGATCTAGTAAAGGAGGGTAGGAAGGAAGGAAGGGAGGGAGGAAGGGAGGGAGGGAGGGAAGAAGGTGGTATTAAAAAAGAAAATAGTTGGAGAGAGGAGGAAACAAGAGCAAGAGAAAGATTGATGTTGATTGATCAATGACTGAGGTACAAGTGTGTATATATTGAAGGATTGAGGAGGGAAGGGAGGAAAGAGAGGAGGCGAGAGGGGGAGAAAGTAGATGAAGTAACAACAGAGCTAAGTAAAGGAAAATGGGTCCCATGGAAGGTTTAAGGGAAGAGAAGAGGAATACATGGTTGGGGAAGGACTCGAGGGAGAGAAGGAGAAAGGAAGAAACAAATGAAGTGCAGGAGAATATTTGAGGTGGGGAGTGATGTAAGGAGGCAAGGAAATGGGAAAGGAGAGAGAAGATGATGGCAAGGGAAGGAAAGTAGGGGCATGGGAAGGAAGCAGTTGGAGAATAAAAGTGAAAGGGAGGTTTCCAAAATCTCAGGAAGGACTGAGAAAAGAAAGTTGGGGAGAAGTGGTTAAGAAAGGACAGATGGAGAGAAGGAGAAGGGGAAGAAAGTAATTGGGATAGGAGGAGTCAAGGAAATGATGAAGAGGAAGGGCGGGAGTTAAGAAAGAAGGAGGGATAAGAGGAGGTTAAATGTTAAGTAACGACTGATGGAAAGAAGGAATTATTAAGGGGGGCCGAAAGAAGTTGGTTAAGGTAGAAAGTGTGAGGAGGCAAAGAAGGAAGGACACAAGGATGTGAGGAGACAGGAAGTGTGATTTAAGACTCAGAACAATAAGTGGCGTCCTGCTGTGCGAAGGAAACCATCCACTAACCGGCTCTGTTTGTTTTGTTTCCTTCCCTCTCTCCTTTCTCTGCCTCCGTTTCCTTCCAGGCTGACTCACCGCGGGAGCGCCTGAACACAGGAGAAGAAGACGAATACAAAGTTTAAGGGAGAAACAGAGGAAGAGAAGCAAAAGGGAGAGAGAGAAATAGGGGAGAGAAAAAAGCTATTAAGAAGAGCTGAGGGATACTACGAGGGAGGAAGAAACAGCAGAAGAAGAAACAAGAGGAAGTTGGGTTGGCGGGGCGAGAGGAGGAAAGAGAAAGTGATTTTGGGAAAAATAAAGAGACTCTGTGGGAGACGAGTCAACAGATCTGAGGTCAGGTGAGAGAGGGCGCAGGTAGATTGGAGGTCGGAGGTCAAGCGGCGGTCAGACTGAAGGCTGACTGAGCTTCAGCTGTCCCCCCCCCCCCCACCCCACCCCCACAACCCTCCCTTCAGTGTCAGCACACTGGGAGAAGTGGGAGGACTGGAGACGAGGAGAAGCCACCATGAGCGACCTGAACGTCATCAAGGAAGGCTGGGTCCAGAAAAGAGGTGAGTCCTGTTTTCATCCAGAGACGGGTTTTTACTGATTCAACGTTTCCTCAGATATCAAAAGTCAAAGCCAACTTTATTGTCAATCTTTCCGTTTGTGTGTACAGACAGAGAGATCCAAATACCGTTTGAGGTATTTATTTTTTTCAAATATAAACTACATATGTTTTAATCTTAATCTATGGCAGTCTTTTTAAATAATAAGAGCGACACATCGTGTGGTTTGGGCGTTATATTTTTTTGGTTTACAGTCAGAAAAATATAGAATAGCCTTCTCCCTAAAGTGGCTCCTTTCTTTTGGTTTCTTCTGAGTTTATATATGAAATATTGATGTAAACATACCATATCATTGAATAAGTAATGCAGTAGGAGTGGTGGGTGAACTGCCTGGCACAGCACATTTGTCGTATTCATGCACGGTTAAAAAGTGGCTTCAGAGTTTCTCTAGTGTTTACTTTCAAAGATCCCAGCTTTCCTGAATTAGTTTCACTAAGAGAAAGCTAACATTTAGATATATATATCCAAGCAGTTTTGAGAGTCCAGAAGGGGTTTGAATACAAGTTGTTTAAACCAAATAATATATAATAATAGAGTCAGCTGTAAGATAACATCACCGATCTTTGGATCTGAAAATACGAAAACGACACCTCAAAGGTGGGGTAGGTAAGTTTGAGAAACCGGCTCGAGATACACTTTTTGTTATATTCCATGGAATGCTCTTAACATCCCGATAGCAATAAATATCTTAAGTGCTTTGACAAAAAATCCATTTCATCTGTGGAAGCCGTAGTACTGTAAAAAGCACGACCAATCATCTGAGCCGGCCCGGCTAAAATAACTGGATGGCCTACCTGCCTGTCAGCCTTCCATCTGTGCACAAACTTATCTCGTGCCCTCATTGGTCATGTGCACGTTCGTGTGTGTTGGAGGAGGGGCTCTGTAAGGAAGTAGCAGATTTCTTCCGGCTGTGTATTTTCAAATTCTAGCGATCTCGAGCCGGTTTCTCCAAAATGACCTACCCCACCTTTAATTTATGCAATTTGCTATAGTCTTGATTACAACTTTGCAAAAAGCAAAAATAATTATATTGGAAACAAAATGTTCTTTTACCGTAAAATGTTTCAATCCACCCGTGAAAGTCTGATATCTGTCCATACATCTGTGCATGAAAATGAATTATAAATTAGGATGCTTGGTTGTTAAAATATGATTTGAAAGAACACTTTGTCCTGATGGGAGCATCCCAGAGTCACTAGGCAGGAGAAACATAGAGTAGTAAGTGTGCTGGTCAGGACTGATACAACTAGTGTTGCAGCCAACACTAGTTGTATTATTTTCATCAGCAACTCAGTAAGATTACAGGAAATGTTGAATTCATGCCAATCACTTATTCCCAGAGTTAAACAGACCAAAGCCCAGACAATTAAAACTGATGAAGCAGCACATTTGCACATTTGAGAAGCTGAAATACTTGTTAATCCAATCAAATAATCAGCACTATAAAGGCTAAACCAGTTGAGTGTCCCTGGTTAAGGATGTCATATAAATTCCTCTGTTGCTTTTGGTTTCAATTCATTTAAAGGTCCCATGTCATGGCCATTTCTACTGATCATAATTCCATTGTTGAGGTCTACTAGAATAGATTTATATTGTGCAATGTTCCAAACTCACATTGGTTTCTCATACAGCATCTCTGTATAGTATGTGTATTCACTCTCTGTCCTAAACGGCTTGTTGGAGCTCCTGCCCCCCCTCTCCCTGTGAGCCCAGTGTGCTCTGATTGGTCAGCTCGCCCACTCTGGTCTGATGAGTCCACCACCGTTACAGCGGAACATCAGTGATTATGTTTTACAATGGCGTTTGATAGCAACCAGAAAATGACACCAGTAATGACAAACAGGGGGCTGCAGCACCCCCATCTGCGAGGCTCCACTAGCACCCGCACCCCCAAACACGGCGCACCTACAGTGTAAGCGCGCCACAGTTTCGCCGCTGAGAGTGTGTGTGTGTGAGGAGCTCCACGGATTGGTCCATTTGGACCAATGGGCCCATTTGGGTATGGTCACGTCACTGTACCCAGGAAGAAAAAGAGAAATCCCCAACGAGGCGTTCTGGAGCAGCATAGACAGGTCTTTTCTGTGTTAGAGTTTTATTCGCTACAGGGTGTACTTTGAGGGTTTGTGACTCTGCAGACCATTTACATGCAGAAAAAGCTTCATAACACACAAGGGGACGGGTGATAACGGGAAAAGCATGACATGGGACCTTTAAACTTGCTGTAGGGACAGTCATCCAAAATATATCAAATTTGCATAAATGCACAACACAGAGGTTCTGGTTAAAATAATAAAGAAAACTATTACCATTATCTTATTAATCATCATAGTCAAGTTAAGTAAATTGTATTTATATTGAGCCAGACTATTACAGATGTTTTACAGAGTAGGTTTTGACTGTAATGTACAGATCATCACAGCAGCCATGTTAAGTCATATTGAGCAGGATTTGACGGTCTGGCTACAAAATGTTTTCTTTACGTTCCCCTCAGATAAAGGTGTTACCACAGCTGACATTATCTGACAGAACGGGAACAACAACACTAAGATGCCGCTTCTCCTTTTTCACACAGAGGAAGCTGATTTATTGCAAACATGACAGTTGGATTGAAACATGGCGGATGTGTTTTACTCCTTGTGGCTGTCTGTGTTTCTGTTGGTTTGAATGAATGTATGTAACTGTGTGTCTGCCGTGGTTAATGGGTTTTTGTCGTTTAGGGAAATGAAACATTTTCTGCCTCAGACGGCTGCTGCTCTCTGTTATTCTTCAACTGACTTCCTTTTCTTGTTCCTTTTTATAATTTACCTGACTTTTCACACCAAAGAGCGCCAGTGTGTTGCATTTACACGCTTCAATTGTAACACATATTTTCCACACAGGAAACTTTCTAATTCTCTCCACAGGGGATGTGTTCAGATGATTTGTAGGGCTGATTCTACAGAAACATACTTTACCATTCAAATATATAATTATAATTTCCAAATTCATCATTATAAACATACTCATACTTAACGGGGCTCTATTATACTCATGTTAAGGTTCATATCAGTATGTAGTGTCTCTACTGTGACCTGTCTCCATGCTTTAATGTTCAAAAAGCTCTCTCTCATACTACCTGTGCTGCAGCACCTCTTTTCACCCTCTGTCTGAAACCAGAGCCCAGTCTGCTCTGATTGGTTAGCTGGTCGGCTCTGTTGTGATTGGTCAACCGCTTAGAGATGTCCCGCCCCTTAGCCTATCAGTACAATGTGCTGAAGCGCTAGCTAATAGAAACAGGGATTTTAAGCTTTGCAGACCGATGGAACACACTACAGGAAAACAAAAAACCCTAAAAGCATAATAGGGCCTCTTTAAAACCAGGATATCATTATTATGTGGTGTGCAATTGGAGCACACATGTAGCTGTTGAGTAGTTTGTTTACACAGAAATGAAAGCAACAGAGAACTGGCTGAATCTCTTCTTCTGCAACTTTCAGTCAATAAACAACCAAACTGTTCTTGCTCTTATCTTGTTAGAAGTGGGACAGAAAGAAACAGCTTGGTAACTCTCCTGACTCTTTCTATTGACCCTTTAATTGGCACAATGTAATTCCGGAAACACACAATTTAGTTATTCATCTAGAAGTTGTGACACAAACGTTGGCTAACAGCAACAACAGCAAATCCTGAGTTTAGTAAGCAATCCCAAAGAGCTGGCAGAAAGTAGTGTGTGACTGTTATTCTTTTTGAAAAGCTTTGTTTTACTGGTCCATGCTACAACATAAGCCCAGTGTTTTCAGGTGAACTCACTGCAATGGGCACTGAGGGAAACACACAGTCAGAAGACTTGTGTTTTCATGCAGCTTAGTGTGGCCAGTTTGAAGAACAGAACTCCAAACAATGGCTGTTTACCTGCCAGACGGAGAGAGAGAGAGAGAGTGTGTGTGTGTGTGTGTGTGTGTGTGTGTGTGTGTGTGTGTGTGTGTGTGTGTGTGTGTGTGTGTGTGTGTGTGTGTGTGTGTGTGTGTGTGTGTGTGTGTGTGTGTGTGTGTGTGTGTGTGTGTGTGTGTGTGTGTGTGTGTGTGTGTGTGTGTGTGTGTGTGTGTGTGTGTGTGTGTGTGTGTGTGTGTGTGTGTGTGTGTGTGTGTGTGTGTGTGTGTGTGTGTGTGTGTGTGTGTGTGTGTGTGTGTGTGTGTGTGTGTGTGTGTGTGTGTGTGTGTGTGTGTGTGTGTGTGTGTGTGTGTGTGTGTGTGTGTGTGTGTGTGTGTGTGTGTGTGTGGTGTGTGTGTGTGTGTGTGTGTGTGTGTGTGTGTGTGTGTGTGTGTGTGTGTGTGTGTGTGTGTGTGTGTGTGTGTGTGTGGTGTTTGTCTGGCTGGCAGGCAGGGGGAAGTTTCTCTGGCACTATGAGCTTTCAGAGGATGACCTAACACTCCGGTTCCTTCCTCTCCGGCCCACACAAGTCCCCCAATTGTTTATTGCACCTCTGTGTGCTCTTATAATTCAGGCCAAACCAGCCTCTCAGAGAAAAACTGCCCCAAGCAGCCTCTCCGGGCAGTTTGAGAGCAAAACTCAAGAGTTCACACGCAGTTCAGGACGCTTCGGAAAGTGGGCTGTAGAAACTGAATTTTAGAGAAACATAGAAAAGACATTATAGGTTCTTGGTGCCATTATTTATATATTTGGAGCCTTAGTTGTACAGTATTCAGTGTAGTCATGAATTGATGATTCAGTTGATGAACAAACCTGTAACAATCAAAGGTGTTTGGAGACTTGAAATTGCATCTTCTTCACTGCTAAGTGCTTCTTGCTCGACAGGGTATCGGGCAGGACATCACATATGGAGGAACCAATTAAATCTGTATACAAAGGGGAATTTAGTCAAAGTGAAAGGCCATGTTTTGAGATAGGACATCAAGAGGGGCAGGCATATTATTTGTACTCTTTTTTTTGTATCAAAATAAGATAAGGTACATCTTAAGGTAAGGTAATCCCCAGTGGGAAATTCAGGTCTCATAGTAGCATCATTCATGAGAATAAACTACAGAGAGATACAGGGAAAAGTAAGAGCACAGAACCAAAGCAAGATAATAATAACTGGTGACCATGAAGTCAAATAGGGCTTTACATTTGGGGGGAGAGTTGCCCCTTTCGCACCTTCTACTGCCTGACTGCCTGCTGAACTGAAATGAATTCACTTGATATGATGATATAATAAAAAAGGCAGGTATTCTCAATATTTAAGTGTCTGAAAACAACCTTTTTTTAAATGTTTGCATAAATAAATACTAAAATGATTCATTAATACCAAAAAAATGTCTAATAATCAAACAATTAATTATTTGACTGTTTGTCACACTGCCAATTTAGTTAGTTAGGTAATAACACCCCTCCCCAGAACACAGAAAACAGCCTAAATTAAGTCAGACTATAATGCAGTTTCATTATCAGGCTAATACCGACATTAGAGAGACAGGCTTCTCCACATTAATACAAAAGAGATTGACTAGCGCTCCAACACATTGTACGTGATTGCCTAAGGGGCGGGACATCTCTAAGCGGTTGACCAATCACAACAGAGCCAGCCAGCTAACCAATCAGAGCAGACTGGGCTCTGGTTTTAGACAGAGGGTGAAAGAAGAGATACTGCCATACAATCCAGACTCATATTAGTCAAAGTCAACTTTTGTGTGTACAGACAGAGCGATCCAAATAGCGTTTCCCACAATCCCGAATACAATATAAGTGCATATGTAACCGGTTTGAATCTCCTCTCCTCCAGGTGAGTACATAAAGAACTGGCGACCGCGTTACTTCCTGCTGAAGTCAGACGGATCCTTCATCGGCTACAAGGACAAACCGCAGGACTCGGACCTGGCGTACCCCCTCAACAACTTCTCTGTAGCAAGTAAGACAGTCAGACTGAACAGGGAACATGTTCCACGCCCTGGAGGAAGAACCCCACGTGTCTAAGTGCATCCCTCTCTCTGTGGTTCTTGCAGAATGTCAGCTGATGAAGACGGAGCGGCCCAAGCCGAACACCTTCATCATCCGCTGCCTGCAGTGGACCACCGTCATCGAGAGGACCTTCCACGTGGACACTCCTGATGAGAGGTGAGCGTCCTCCTCCTTATCCTCCTCCTCCACCTCCTCCTCCTCCTCCTCCTCCTTATCCTCCTCCTCCTCCTTATATCTATCTGGCCAAATTGTACCCAGGGAGAAAAAGGGTAAACTATCTAAATACCCAACACATTTCTGGAGACCACTGAATGTGAATGATTGCCAATATTTCAAAGTTGCATTTGCTATATTTTGGATCATTAGGTCAATTCTCAGCCAAAATTCCATTAAAGTTTCACATTTAAAACCAATTACAATAAGAAATAGGTTTATTGCCATATACATTTACACACACAAGAAATGTGTCTCGTTTTTTGGGCAGTAATTAGAAAAATATAAAAGCAAGTAGAAGAATCATAAAATCAAAAATGGTAGAAATTCCCTTTCCATAATGAAGGAGCTGAAAGGTTTGTGCAGGAATGTGCGATATATTGACCAGTGTTCCCAGTATGGAGAATGCTGCACGCCTCCTTACAAGGACAGGCAGGCATGAAAATGTTACTGTTTGCATACAAAGCCCTAAACGGTTCAGCCCCCCCGTACCTGGCAGATCTTTGAGGTCTGCTGACAGACTCCTTCTGGTCGTCCCTAAATCAAGGCTAAAGCAGCGAGGACACAGCGCCTTTGCTGTCGCCCCTCCAGGTTAGACTTGCTCCAACTCTGCCTGTTTTTAAATCTCGTTTAAAAACCCTCTTCTTTTCCCTTGCATTTACAGACCAGATGACACTTCGGGTTTTTATCTGACTAGTGTTTTTACGTCATGTTGGAGAGTTTCTCAGTCTGTGGCTTCTGATCTGGTTTCATTGTCTCCTGTTTTACATTTGTTTCATGTCCTGTCTGTTTTTTATGTATTTATTAGGGCTGTCAGTCGATTAAAATAGTTAATCGCGATTAATCGCATGATGTCCATAGTTAATCGCGATTAATCCCAAACATGTTATCTGTTCTAAATGTACCTTAGAGGAATATTTTTCAAGTTTTTAATACTCTTATCAACATATGAGTGGACAAAGATGCTTTATGCAAATGTTTGTTTATTATCATTGGAACAATGACAAATATTCTCCTGAATATTCTCAATACAACAACCTGGAACCTCTCTCTCTCTCTCTCTCTCTCCCAACCAACCCTGTCTACTTCTCTGCACTGAGCCAGTTGCTCAAACAGACAAGCCTGTTTACAGGTGTTGGGGAAATGCCGCTCCTCTGTCTTCATAACAGTCAAAGCATGAGACTGAAGTTCCCACTGTGGGTCAAAATAATGCGCTGTGATGTGGAGTCGACACGTAGGATGCGATCCGAATTATCTAACGCAGCCCCTCGTCCTCCACAACGTTAAGCTGTAGCCGCCCATTTAGCTATCGCTGTTGTTGTCCAGGCGTCTCCCCGGCAAACTTTCAAGCGTGGTCTGCCGCAAGCGTGGTCAGGAGCGGGTCTGTCGGCATCAGCTGTGTGCTTGGCTTGCTGTTTAAAACACCTTTTTTTGTATCCATATCTCTCGCTAGAATCTTCCATCATCCAACTAACAACAACAACAACAACAACAACGTCAAGCCTTTGGGCTCTGAAACTACGGGGTGGGCCGAGGACAAATACACATGCGTTAATCGCACGTCAAAATAATTAGTGGCGTTAAAAAAAATGGCTTTATTAACGCGTTAACTTGACAGCCCTAATGTTTATGCTATGTTTTTATACAGTTGTTGATGTACAGCACTTTGTTCAACTCTGTTTTTAAATGTGCTATAGAAATAAAGTGGATTGGATTGTATTGGATATTTGTGCAATGTGCAGAGATTACGTCGACCAGAAACACATGTTTCTAATTGTGTCGAGGAGCTGCTACCTGAACATTTTCCACATTGTCCTTTACCAGGAAAGGAAACTTGCCTTGCACGTTAAACATTTTAAAAGGCGTGGCTTTAGGGACAAATCAAATGTTTGGTTCTCAGTCCTGAACGAGTGTTTGTCTCAGCAGTGAGAAGAAAGACAGGAAACGGGGGGGGTGGGCTGCGGCTCCAAGTTTTACACGGTTCTCGTTAAAAAACCCAATATAATGTACATATTATGACTGATTACCTGTCACTGGACTCTGCTAACAACATCCTCTAACAGCTCACATGAGCAGCAGAGGCACCTTGTAGGTTTTTAAAGGAGTGAATATATGATTGTGTTCGTTGGACCTTTCATTGCCTCACATAGCTCCAACATATGAAAGGAAACTAACAAATTCAATGTCATTCTGAACCTTTTTCCTAAGTGTTATAAAAGCACTGGGATGTAAATGGTGCACGCCTCTATTAAATAAAAGCTAGTGAGTAAGGGAAACATCCTCTGCTGTTCCTATGATGTTCCTGTCTCCCCTCGGCCGGCAGGTTGATGGTGATCATCTCTTAAAAACAACTGAGATTGCTAGATTTTGTCTGCTTTAGTCTTTTGTCAGACATTTGAATCCTCTGTGGAGAGTCTTGCAACAAATAAAGCAAGTAATGCCAGTGGTCTTTGAAAGATACAAAGAAAAGTTACTCAGAGTAAACGCAAACATTTCAGAAACGCAATAACTAAGAACTATATTTAATTACTGGACATATTACAACCATGAATATGAAATAAGATTTTCTTCTCCCTGCTCCTTTCCAACGTGCGCTATATAAAAAAACAGTACAAGTGTACATGTTTTGTTTTAAAATAACTGCCATGTGTGGAATAAATAAATAAATGTTTATCTCTTAATATCTATACATGTATTTATTATTAAAGAAAAATAATTCATGAAATAAAATGGTCTGCCAAGAGGGGCTCACATATATAATATAATAAATAGTAATTGGTGTTAAAAGCATAGTATTCTGTGCAGTTTAAACATATGGAGAGCGTAAACTATATTTCACAGAGGGTCAGTCTAATGGCACATTTCCACTACACGGTCGGCCTCGGCCACGCTCGGTACGGCTCGGTACGGCTTGGCCTTAACAGGGCCGACTCACTTCATGCTGCGCTTCCATTACAGTTTAGGAACTGGGGTAGTTACTATAGTAACGCAGTGTAGGCGGAGCCGTGACGTCATCTTCAATGAGAACTCCAGAAACACAACACAGCCGTTAGCTGTTAGCACTCAGAGCTCACAGCTCCTCATATATGTTCAGAAACTAGACAAAAGTTAAACAAGTACACACCACAGACTGCCTGTGTCATGGTGAATACAGTCGCTGCTTTATTTATGTCTGTATAGGCCGTTGTTGTGAGTGTGGATGGTCGGAGCATATACTGCGTTAGCTTAGCCAATCTCCATTCAGAAAACAAGCATTTTAAAAGGTGTTTCGCCTGCCGTCTGTCTGCAGACTTGTCAAAGCATTAATTCATGGTTTTTACTAACCGGTATCAGTATGTTGTTACTTCGGCATCATTTTGAAACGTGTATTACAATTAAATCACGGTCAAATATGTCCATCTTGTTGTAGTTGTAGCCCCCTTGCCAGCGCTCCTCTCTCTAGTTTAGCATACTCAGCCCGACTCAGCCCTGTTTGTTGGCCTCGATAGAACCACAATTTTCTCGGGCCAGAAAAGACGTGAAAAAGTGTCCCCGGGCCGGGCCGGGCCGGGTCGGAACTAGGCCTAGTGGAAGCGCAACCAAAAACGGGCACGGCACGACACGGCACGCTTAAAGCGAGCTCCGCGCTGTAGTGGAACTGCGCCATAAAGCTCAGAGGGTCAGAGTCTAAAGCTCAGAGGGTCAGTCTAAAGCTCAGAGGGTCAGTCTAAAGGTACGGACACACCAACCCGATTATCGGCGTTGGTGGGCGTCAGGCCGACGATGAGCGTCGACACGCCCTACTCGGGTTGGTGTGTCCCGCACCGTCGGATCTTTTCAGCCGACCCGACGCCTTATCGGCAGTCGGCCAAAGGCAGTCGGTGAAAGAAATCACTCTGATTGGCTGTTCAGCTAGCGAATCAGTGCATGAGAAGCGAAACGGAAGTGAGGGACCCAAACAAACTATTAAGAAGGCAAATCTGAGATTTCATTTAACTCCAGCTCTCGACACAGGTTCAGGAAAGCCCCATGAGCTTCACGCTGTAGAGTGAAAATGGAACGCACACACTATTTGTTGTTTCTTTATATCACGCAGTCTGTTCTTCTTCTCTCGCTTATCACAGTCTGTCTTCCGGTTGTTGCCTCTTTTGAATGACGAATACACACTACCGCCGCCTGCTGGTAAGGAGAGTTATTGCCACTCACGCATGCGCAGTTCGTACGTGCTTCTTGGCCGTCGGCTGAAGTCTTTGCGGTGTGTTCCAGTGCGACACATGGCCAAGACGCAGAGAAGCGAGGCGACGCAACAGTCGGGGTCCGTCTGTGTCAGTTCTTTGGTGTCAGCTTGGTGTGTCCGTGCCTTAAAGCTCAGAGGGTCAGTCTAAAGCTCAGAGGGTGAGTCTAAAGCTCAGAGGGTGAGTCTAAAGCTCAGAGGGTGAGTCTAAAGCTCAGAGGGTCAGTCTAAAGCTCAGAGGGTCAGTCTAAAGCTCAGAGGGTCAGTCTAAAGCTCAGGGGGTCAGTCTAAAGCTCAGGGGGTCAGTCTAAAGCTCAGAGGGTCAGTCTAAAGCTCAGAGGGTCAGTCTAAAGCTCAGAGGGTCAGTCTAAAGCTCAGGGGGTCAGTCTAAAGCTCAGGGGGTCAGTCTAAAGCTCAGAGGGTCAGAGTCTAAAGCTCAGAGGGTCAGTCTAAAGCTCAGAGGGTCAGTCTAAAGCTCAGAGGGTCAGTCTAAAGCTCAGGGGGTCAGCTCAGAGGGTCAGTCTAAAGCTCAGGGGGTCAGTCTAAAGCTCAGAGGCTCAGAGTCTAAAGCTCAGAGGGTCAGTCTAAAGCTCAGAGGGTCAGTCTAAAGCTCAGAGGGTCAGTCTAAAGCTCAGAGGGTCAGTCTAAAGCTCAGGGGGTCAGTCTAAAGCTCAGAGGGTCAGTCTAAAGCTCAGGGGGTCAGTCTAAAGCTCAGGGGGTCAGTCTAAAGCTCAGAGGGTCAGTCTAAAGCTCAGAGGGTCAGTCTAATGGCGCGTTTCCACTACAGTGCGGAGCACGGTTTAAGAGGGCTGTGACGTCAGCGGCCCGTTTTTGGTTGCGTTTCCACTTGGCCTAGTACCGGCCGGCGGGTCCTAATTCACAGTTTTTCTGGCCTCATAAAATCGCGGGTCTAGGGCCAGAGACAACGAGGCTGAGTCGGGCTGAGTATGCTAAACTAGAGAGAGCATCGCTGGCAAGGGGGCTACAACTACAACAAGATGGACATATTTGACCGTGATTTAATTGTAATACACGTTTCAAAATGATGCCGAAGTAACAACATACTGATACCGGTTAGTAAAAACCATGAATTAATGCTTTGGCAAGTCTGCAGACAGACGGCAGGCGAAACACCTTTTAAAATGCATGTTTTCTAGATGGAGATTGGCTAAGCTAACGCAGTATATGCTCCGACCGTCCACACTCACAACAACGGCCTATACAGACATAAATAAAGCAGCGACTGTATTCGCCATGACACAGGCAGTCTGTGGTTTGTACTTGTTTAACTGTTGTCTAGTTTCTGAACATATATGAGGAGCTGTGAGCTCTGAGTGCTAACAGCTAACGGCTGTGTTGTTTTTCTGGGGTTCTCATTGAAGATGACGTCACGGCTCCGCCTACACTGCGTTACTATAGATACTACCCCAGTTCCTAAACTGTAATGGAAATGCGCCATAAAGTGAGCCAGTCCTAACGAGGCCTAGCCATACCGAGCGAGGCCGAGCGAGGCCGTGTAGTGGAAACGCGCCATAAAGCTCAGAGGGTCAGCCTAAAGCTCAGGGGGTCAGTCTAAAGCTGAAGCTAGAGTTGAAAGCAATTAACCAAAAAAGTGGTATTTTAACCCGTTGTTGTTGTTGTTGTTGTGTCCTGCAGGGACGAGTGGGCCGAGGCCATCCAGACGGTCGCAGAGTCTCTGGCCAAGCAGGAGGAGGAGGGCATCCTCTGCAGCCCCTCCTCCGCCATCGAGAACGTCAACGAGGAGGAGATGGACACCTCCATCGGACACTACAAACGGAAGGTGACCATCATCTCAGTAGAAACCAAATATCACTCAAAACAAAGACTTTCTTAGGACTTTAAACAAATGACAAGAGGAGATGCTAACACATTTAACCTTTTTTTACCCTGTCTCATATTTAGTATCATTTTCTATGCGATTAAAAGCGATAATAAGGGCTGTTTGTTATGAAAAAAGGCTGTGAGTGTGTTGAATGATGGAGAAGCTCTTTCCTCACATGCTCCTCTGTTGTTTGTGTTTGCAGACAATGAATGACTTTGACTATCTGAAGCTTCTGGGCAAAGGCACTTTTGGGAAAGTCATTCTGGTGAGGGAGAAGGCGAGCGGCATCTACTACGCCATGAAGATCCTCAAGAAGGAAGTCATCATAGCAAAGGTCCTTTTATTATTTCAGTTATTTCACTTACCTTATTTCAGTTTCATAGTTTCAACTGTTTTATTTTCATTTGCTATATCTACAAAGTCAATACAAAGAAAGGGAACATGATAGAAATGCATACAATTGGAAATAAATAATCAAATAAATGCAAAAGTATTGAAAGAAATAGATATATGAAAATATGATTATATGATTAACATATGGTCCTTTTCTGGAAAGCATGTTAATGGTCACTGGATGGAAATGTCATATTTTAGAATTGAAAGCAAATTCATCATGAATTTAAGTGGGAAAATAGCAAAAATGAAAATGCATCACCTTCTGTTAGTCTAGAGAAGTATATTTAGAAATCTCAGTAACAGATTGGTTTCAAATGACAGGGTCCCGATGTTCACACACCTCCCTAACAATTACATCCTCCTCCTTGTGACTAAAACAAGAAAGTGTCTCCTGACTAATCTCCACGCCTCTCCTTTCCTGTTTTATCTCCCATCGCAGGATGAAGTTGCTCACACACTCACAGAAAGTAGGGTATTAAAAAACACTCGGCATCCATTCCTAACTGTGAGTATCAGCATGTCGATGAACACATTACATGAAGACACACCTGTGCTGTGCTGCTGTAAAATATGTGAATAGATATAAATACAGAGAAGCAGGTACACATCAAAGACCTCTTGATAGATGTCGTGCACAGAAACCACAAAGCTTCTTTAAAAATGTGTTTGAAACAAATGGCTGAGCAGAGTTGTGTGTGTGTGTGTGTGTGTGTGTGTGTGTGTGTGTGTGTGTGTGTGTGTGTGTGTGTGTGTGTGTGTGTGTGTGTGTGTGTGTGTGTGTGTGTGTGTGTGTGTGTGTGTGTGTGTGTGTGTGTGTGTGTGTGTGTGTGTGTGTGTGTGTGTGTGTGTGGTGTGTGTGTGTGTGTGTGTGTGTGTGTGTGTGTGTGTGTGTGTGTGTGTGTGTGTGTGTGTGTGTGTGTGTGTGTGTGTGTGTGTGTGTGTGTGTGTGTGTGTGTGTGTGTGTGTGTGTGTGTGTGTGTGTGTGTGTGTGTGTGTGTGTGTTGCAGTCTCTGAAGTACTCGTTCCAGACGAAGGATCGGCTGTGCTTTGTAATGGAGTACGTCAACGGAGGAGAGGTGAGACTTCAAAGAGTCGCTTTAAAAAGAAAAGAGGTTTTGATGCTGGCTGATGTTCCGTCTTATTTTAACATGGAAGTTATTTCAAGATTTATTGAAGAATGGTGAGGAGAGCTTCAACAGAAAGCTCTCACTCGTCTCGCTGGGGGAGAGTGTCTGCACTGTCCTGGGTTTGTAATGATGCTAGAGATGTATTACTTAAGGAAATCATTTTAACAAATAGAGATGCGAAACGTCTTCAGAATGTATTATTCATTTCTTATTTATTCGTCTTGTTTGGTCAAAGATTGTTTCATTTATTAGAAATGGTTTTGCTGAAAATATTTGTTGCAACCTGGATTGTTGTGGGGAGAATGAAGCAAACGCATGCATGGAGAATAAATAATCATCTTAAACCAATAAGAAAAGTTACAAGAATAAATAGTTATACATACATATATATGACGTGAAACAGTATTTTCTTACAGTTTTGCTCGATTGATTGCCTTTAATAATTCATCTTTTTTTTTAAATAGTTGCTACGGTCTGTCACGACCCCATTCTGAGTTTTACTGCATGTTAATAACTAGTCTTGTACCTAATGAATATACTTAAAAACAACATTTGTATTGTGTTTGTTTGCAGCTGTTTTTCCATTTGTCAAGAGAAAGAGTTTTCTCGGAGGACCGCACCCGTTTCTACGGCGCTGAGATCGTCTCTGCTCTAGATTACCTTCATTCTGCAAAGATCGTCTATCGGGATCTGAAGGTAAACTCCACCTGAGAGGAATCTAACGTTTATCACCTGGTTCTTGAATACAAGAACCCTATATATGTGAGGTTGTAGGATGCTCGATGGACCACGTCTATATAAGTGTGCCTGTTTAGCTTTTTCCTTTGTACGTGTTTTTTTTTCTTTGTGTTTTGGTTTCTGTTTCACAATTACAATTTGAAATGAATCATCAACACTTGAGTTTACAGCTCTTAGTTTATCATTCAACATTGAGAAACAAGTCCAGATTGGTCTTGAAATCGAGGGTCATGTTTTTAATGTCTGTTGTCCTCCTCACCAGCTGGAGAACCTCATGTTGGACAAAGACGGCCACATCAAGATCACAGACTTCGGCCTGTGCAAAGAAGGCATCACCGACACTGCCACCATGAAGACCTTCTGTGGGACCCCAGAGTACCTGGCCCCTGAGGTCAGAGGTCACACTCACACACAACTACATACATTCACACTCACACACAACTAGATACATTCACACTCACACACAACTAGATACATTCACACTCACACACAACTCGATACACTCACACACACACACAACTAGATACACTCACACACACACAACTAGATACATTCACACTCACACACAACTAGATACATTCACACTCACACACAACTAGATACATTCACACTCACACACAACTAGATACATTCACACTCACACACAACTAGATACATTCAGACACACACACAACTCGATACATTCACACTCACACACAACTAGATACATTCACACTCACACACAACTAGATACATTCACACTCACACACAACTAGATACATTCACACTCACACACAACTAGATACATTCACACACACACACAACTACATACATTCACACTCACACACAACTAGATACACTCACACTCACACACAACTAGATACACTCACACACACACACACAACTAGATACACACACACACACACACACACACAACTAGATACATTCACACTCACACACAACTAGATACATTCACACTCACACACAACTAGATACATTCACACTCACACACAACTAGATACATTCACACTCACACACAACTAGATACACTCACACACACACACAACTAGATACACTCTCACACACACACACAACTAGATACACTCACACACAACTCGATACACTCACACTCACACACAACTAGATACACTCACACACACACACAACTAGATACACTCACACACACACACAACTAGATACATTCACACTCACACACAACTAGATACACTCACACACACAACTAGATACACTCACACACACAACTACATACATTCACACACACACACAACTAGATACACTCACACTCACACACAACTAGATACACTCACACACACACAACTAGATACACTCACACACACACACAACTACATACATTCACACACACACACAACTAGATACACTCACACTCACACACAACTAGATACACTCACACACACACAACTAGATACACTCACACACACACAACTACATACATTCACACACACACACAACTAGATACACTCACACTCGCACACAACTAGATACATTCACACACAACTACATACATTCACACACACACACAACTAGATACACTCACACACACACATAACTAGATACATTCACACTCACACACAACTAGATACACTCACACTCACACACAACTAGATACACTCACACACACACAACTAGATACACTCACACACACACACAACTACATACATTCACACTCACACACAACTAGATACACTCACACTCACACACAACTAGATACATTCACACTCACACACAACTAGATACATTCACACTCACACACAACTAGATACATTCACACTCACACACAACTAGATACACTCACACTCACACACAACTAGATACACTCACACTCACACACAACTAGATACACTCACACACACACAACTAGATACATTCACACACACACACAACTACATACATTCACACTCACACACAACTAGATACACTCACACTCACACACAACTAGATACATTCACACTCACACACAACTAGATACACTCACACACACACACACAACTAGATACACTCACACACACACAACTAGATACATTCACACTCACACACAACTAGATACATTCACACACACACACAACTAGATACACTCACACACAACTAGATACATTCACACTCACACACAACTAGATACATTCACACTCACACACAACTACATACATTCACACTCACACACAACTACATACATTCACACTCACACACAACTACATACATTCACACTCACACACAACTAGATACATTCACACAAAACTACATACATTCACACACACACACAACTAGATACACTCACACACACACACACAACTAGATACATTCACACTCACACACAACTAGATACACTCACACTCACACACAACTAGATACATTCACACTCACACACAACTAGATACATTCACACTCACACACAACTAGATACATTCACACTCACACACAACTAGATACATTCACACACACACACAACTAGATACACTCACACACAACTAGATACATTCACACACAACTAGATACATTCACACTCACACACAACTAGATACATTCACACTCACACACAACTAGATACATTCACACTCACACACAACTAGATACATTCACACTCACACACAACTAGATACATTCACACACACACACAACTAGATACACTCACACACAACTAGATACATTCACACTCACACACAACTACATACATTCACACTCACACACAACTAGATACACTCACACACACACACACAACTAGATACACTCTCACACACACACACAACTAGATACACTCACACTCACACACAACTAGATACATTCACACTCACACACAACTCGATACATTCACACTCACACACAACTAGTTACATTCACACTCACACACAACTACATACATTCACACTCACACACAACTAGATACATTCACACACACACACAACTAGATACACTCACACACAACTAGATACATTCACACTCACACACAACTAGATACATTCACACTCACACACAACTAGATACATTCACACTCACACACAACTAGATACATTCACACTCACACACAACTAGATACATTCACACTCACACACAACTAGATACACTCACACACAACTAGATACACTCACACACACACACACAACTAGATACACTCACACACACACACAACTAGATACATTCACACTCACACACAACTAGATACATTCACACACAACTACATACATTCACACTCACACACAACTAGATACACTCACACACACACAACTAGATACACTCTCACACACACACACAACTAGATACACTCACACTCACACACAACTCGATACACTCACACTCACACACAACTAGATACACTCACACACACACACAACTAGATACACTCACACACACACACAACTAGATACATTCACACTCACACACAACTAGATACACTCACACTCACACACAACTAGATACACTCACACACACACACAACTAGATACACTCACACTCACACACAACTAGATACATTCACACTCACGCACAACTAGATACATTCACACTCACACACAACTAGATACATTCACACTCACACACAACTAGATACATTCACACTCACACACAACTAGATACATTCACACTCACACACAACTAGATACATTCACACTCACACACAACTAGATACACTCACACACAACTAGATACACTCACACACACACACACAACTAGATACACTCACACACACACACAACTAGATACATTCACACTCACACACAACTAGATACATTCACACACAACTACATACATTCACACTCACACACAACTAGATACACTCACACACACACAACTAGATACACTCTCACACACACACACAACTAGATACACTCACACTCACACACAACTCGATACACTCACACTCACACACAACTAGATACACTCACACACACACACAACTAGATACACTCACACACACACACAACTAGATACATTCACACTCACACACAACTAGATACACTCACACTCACACACAACTAGATACACTCACACACACACACAACTAGATACACTCACACACACACACAACTACATACATTCACACTCACACACAACTACATACATTCACACACACACACAACTAGATACACACACACACACACAACTAGATACATTCACACTCACACACAACTAGATACACTCACACACACACACAACTAGATACACTCACACACACACACAACTACATACATTCACACTCACACACAACTACATACATTCACACACACACACAACTAGATACACTCACACACACACACAACTAGATACACAACTAGATACACTCACACACACACACAACTAGATACACTCTCACACACACACACAACTAGATACACTCACACTCACACACAACTAGATACATTCACACTCACACACAACTCGATACATTCACACTCACACACAACTAGTTACATTCACACTCACACACAACTACATACATTCACACTCACACACAACTAGATACATTCACACACACACACAACTAGATACACTCACACACAACTAGATACATTCACACTCACACACAACTAGATACATTCACACTCACACACAACTAGATACATTCACACTCACACACAACTAGATACATTCACACTCACACACAACTAGATACATTCACACTCACACACAACTAGATACATTCACACACAACTAGATACACTCACACTCACACACAACTAGATACATTCACACTCACACACAACTAGATACATTCACACTCACACACAACTAGATACATTCACACTCACACACAACTAGATACATTCACACTCACACACAACTAGATACATTCACACTCACACACAACTAGATACATTCACACTCACACACAACTAGATACACTCACACACAACTAGATACACTCACACACACACACACAACTAGATACACTCACACACACACACAACTAGATACATTCACACTCACACACAACTAGATACATTCACACACAACTACATACATTCACACTCACACACAACTAGATACACTCACACACACACAACTAGATACACTCTCACACACACACACAACTAGATACACTCACACTCACACACAACTCGATACACTCACACTCACACACAACTAGATACACTCACACACACACACAACTAGATACACTCACACACACACACAACTAGATACATTCACACTCACACACAACTAGATACACTCACACTCACACACAACTAGATACACTCACACACACACACAACTAGATACACTCACACACACACACAACTACATACATTCACACTCACACACAACTACATACATTCACACACACACACAACTAGATACACACACACACACACAACTAGATACATTCACACTCACACACAACTACATACATTCACACACACACACAACTAGATACACTCACAC